TGTCTTCAGAACATATATGCGTGGAGTACTCCCAGAGGATGGTTAATACTAACACTTTTCTCAGAAGCAACCCATCTCACGCAATGAACTTTTCGAATTAGAGACCACTCCAACATCTATATACACGAAACCTCCACCCAAAGACATGACCATTTGCACTCACGCAAAACCTCACACCACCACTTAAGATTCAATTGTTAGAAAATGTTCTCTTGCTGTTTCTGGCATCAAGACTCGCTCTCTTCTGGCAATGACGTAACTTATTATTGTGAAAATATCCCACATATACTATGTCGTGAAAACACCCTCTATTTACCACTTTTCTGCGAATAAGACGGCCTCGCACAAGTACGTAATATCACTGATAAAAATCACACCCACACACATCTCACTCGAAAGAACCTCCACTCAACTAGATGACGTTTATCCTCACTGTTATAAAACACCACCAGTAAATCTTCAGCTCAAACGCCCGAGAAAATTGTCCTAAGTAATGAGACTCACCCTAATTAGCGAACACTCTATTCACGTTAAAAAAGGCTCGCATTTGAACACATCACACCACTAACCCAAGATAGCACATCTCAGATGATAACCCAGCTGAACAACTATTCTCACGGAGAAACCTCCAAACTTTCGCCAAACACCTCACTCACTATGAGATATGTTCCGATAATTAGCACTCACCCAAACTTTCGCAAAAAACACACCGATACTTTTCGAATAAATTACTCCTCACACTCGAACGTGTGGCGAGAGAAAAACACTCACGAAATCTTCTCTCGACAACGCTCACCCGAAAAAACATTCACGTGATAATCCCACTTCTCACCACCTATTCACGAAAACCTCAATCAAAACGTTATATTCTCGTTCAAGAAACACTTCCCAAAACTGTACTCACTGTATCATACCACATCTCATTTTAACAGTGATATGAGAGCTTCTAAGAACATTATCAGAAAATATCCCCAGGATAGATACACTATCTCGAGAGAACCCCCGAAAATCTTTATACTTAAAACAACCCTCGCGAAAACTCTCTCTCTCTCTCTCTCTGAAAAACGTTCCACATTAACTGTTTCGGAAAAACTCTTATGCTTGCAAACTTATTTGTCGATAAAAACGCGCAACACTTTTGACGAATTGAGAGCTCCTCGCCAAACGAGTCACACTGAAAATTAAACCAAAACTTCGTCTCGGTGAAGAGCATACCCTCAAAAACTTTCACTCACAATTGACCGTCCAAGAGTGTGCATTGATCTCGAGCAAATAAACCCTTCATAAGAACATTTTATATTTCAAAGCTCGCCCACTCAAGGTGCTCTCTTCGAGAAACTCGCCCAAAACTTTTCACACTCGTGTAGACATGACCTCTCGCTAGAAAACGTCGAAAACCCTAACATATAGTATCATGATGATCGTTTCGCAATCACCCGATTAACTGCTCTTGTAATTCGCGCAAAACGTGTTCCTGTGAAAGAGACCTCCGCGCATAATACCAATGTTTTACTTCACTCTCACGTACAACACACCGCGAAAACATATCCAGCGAAAACAACTCTCTCTACTCCTCTAAATTCTCGTATAAACCCCGAAATGCCCTATAGTGCTCGAAAGCACCTCTCGCGAATACAGCTTTCATCCTCTCACATAGAGAGAACTCTCCAATGTACCTTATGCGAGGAAAAAACTCCTGCGCAATACTTATTCTCGCAGGAAACCACACATTAGCATATTCACTCGAATAAAATACTCTCTCTAACAAGCAGACTTCGAAACCCGGAAATACTTTTCTCGAACACTCTCCAAATAGCATTATACTCTCGAGAGAAAAACACTCACGCGACACAACAATAATTATGCTCACACATGCTCTCTCACGCACATAAATCTTTGCGAAAACTCTCAACACACGCTCTCGAGAGACTTTATCTTCTAGTAAATCTCTTTCAATGAACTTTCTCGATAAATCTCTCACAACACAAGAATCTCTATTCTACGAAAAAAAGACCTTCTCTCTTCAAATTATCTCTTTGTCTAGAAATCTCTAAACTTTGCGAAAACCCCTATATCTTCAAATATTACTCATCCCAAACGTTTTCGACACTAATTCGCCTACAAAACTTTTCTCGGTGAATATAATCTCTCCTGCAGAACTCCCGATAAACCACCACTCTTTTTACTCCTACTTTTACTTTATTACTCCTGAAAATATCACTCCTCACACAACTTATACTCGAGTATATATCTCTCCAAATCTCTTTCATAATTTCTCTAAGGATCCTCTCGCAAAACACTGTCGCGCGAACCCCTTGCACCTCGAAATACACTAAACGTGAAATAGATATTACAAAGAGAAGACTCACAACACTATCTCGCTTCAATAGCTGTCTCGTGTGAATATCTCTCACTCTCCTGCAAAGAACACTATCAGTATTTGATCTGCCCTAAGGCTTCGAAAAACCTCTGCGTATAATCTTGTCTCGTGATTTTAAACTCGTCCTCTCTGTAACAGAAATAACTCTCTTCTCACGACAAGACATTCTCATATCGAGAAGATAAGCGGTTCCATAATCTTTATGCGTTTACCACCTCAAACTTCCGAAACCCCAAAACCTTTACTTCACGACATAAAATCGCATCTAGCAAATAACATATTCCAATTGCCCTCAATATAAGGACTTTCCAACAGAAAAACACGCCACATGCCAATATCTTTCGGAAGAAACACCAAACTTTCGTGCAAGACATACCTCACCCTAAATTTAAACTTAATCATTCTCTGAAAATAACACCTTATGCTTGTGCTCAGTCGAGACCATACCCCATGATCGCATCCAATTTCCTCGAAACCTCCACTCTCTAGAGAGCCACATTATCGAGTGATCAAACTCCTCCTCAACTTTCGAAAACCCCAAAACCTTATCGAAAAACCCCAAACTTTCGAAAAACCCCAAACTTCGAACGCCTCCCAACTACTCTCGAAATACCCCTATACATATCCTGCTCTCCAGGTGTATATCTCTACATACTCTTTCTATCGTAAAAACTCCTTGCAACTTTCAGAAAATCCTCGTCCAAATAATCTCTGCTCTCTCGAAACACCTCAGCTCAAACATGTTCACCACTCGAGATACCTCTTCGAGAATTACTATCCCCCGAGATGATGTCGTGTATCGAAATACACCGAAATACATATCTGGAACAACTCCAATAAAAAACTATTTTTCTCGCAATATATCATGAACAGGCTCTCTGATCACTGAACTTATACCAGTCAATAATATAAAGTAACAAGCTACCTAATAACGATTTACTCATTTTCGATGAAATTATACTCCACCATAACATCTTTATATTTCCGACAAACACCACTGAGAATCGTTATACGAAAACCCCAAAACCTTTCGAAACCCCAAACTTTCGAAAACCCCCAAACTTCGAAAACCCCAAACCTTTCGAAAACCCCAAACTTTCGAAACCCGCAAACTTTCGAAAACCCCAAACTTTCGAAAACCCCAAACCTTTCGAAAACCCCAAACTTTCGAAAACCCCAAACCTCCGAAAACCGCCAAACTTTCGAAAACCCCAAACTTCGAAAACCCCAAACTTTCGAAAACCCCAAACTTTCGAAAACCCCCCAAACGTTCGAAAACCCCAAAACTTTTCGAAAAACCCCAAACTTTCGAAAACCCCCAAACATGTTCGAAAACCCCAAACTTTCGGAAAACCCAAACTTATCGAAACCCCAAACTTTCGAAAACCCCAAACTTCGAAAAACCCCAAAACTTTCGAAACCCCAAAACTCGAAAAACCCCAAACTTTCGAAACCCCAAACTTTCGAAAACCCCAAACTTTCGAAACCCCAACTTTCGAAAACCCCAAACCTTTCGAAAACCCCATAACTTCGAAAAACCCAAAACTTTCGAAAAACCCCAACTTTCGGAAAACCCCCAAACTTTTCCGAAAACCCCAAAACTTTTCGAAAAACCCCAAACTTTCGAAAACCCCAAACTTTCGAAAACCCCAAACTTTCGAACCCAGTTCCCAAACTTCGAAAACCCCAAACCTTTCGAAAACCCCTAAACTTTCGAAAACCCCAAACTTCGAAAGCCCCAAACTTTCCGAAAACCCCAAACTTCGAGAGAGCGCGCGCGAGAACTTTCGAAAACCCCAACTTTCGAAAACCCCAAACTTTCGAAAACCCCAAAACTTCGAAACCCCAAACTTTCAAAACCCCAAAACTTCGAAACCCCAAACTTTCGAAAACCCAAACTTTCGAAAAACCCCAAACTTTTCGAAAAACCCCAAACTTCGAAAACCCCAAACTTTCGAAAACCCGCAAACTTTCGAAAAACCCCAAACTTTCGAAAACCCCAAACTTTCGAAAACCACCAAACTTCGAAAAACCCCAAACTTTCGAAAACCCCAAACTTTCGGAAAAACCCCAAACTTTTTCGAAAACCCCAAACTTTCGAAAACCCCAAACTTTCGAAAACCCCAAACTTTCGAAACCCCAAACTTCGAAAACCCCAAACTTTCGAACCCCAAGAACTTTCATGAAAACCCAAAACTTGAAACCCCAAAACTTCGAAAACCCCAAACTTTCGAAAACCCCAAATCTTTCGAAAAACCCCAAACTTTCGAAAACCCCAAACTTTCGAAAACCCCAAACTTCCGAAAAAAACCCCAAACTGTCGAAACCGCCCCAACTTGTCGAAAAAACCCCAAACTTTCGAAACCCCAAACTTTCGAAAACCCAAACTTTCGAAAACCCAAACTTTTCGAAAACCCCAAACTTTCGAAAACCCCAAAATTTTCGGAAAACCCCAAAATTCGAAGAACCCCAAAATTCGAACCCCAAAATTTCGGAAAACCCCAAAAATTTCGAAAAACCCCAAAATTTTCGAGAAAACCCCAAAATTTCGAAAACCCCAAAATTTCTCTTTACTTTAACTCTTAAAAATTAAAACCTGAAGTTTTCCAAATGATCGCACCTGAGCGAGTCGCGCGCGCCGAGGCCGGCCGGGCGGACGTCGGCGTGCGCAGAGTCCAGCAGCGCCTGCGCCACATGCGCGGCGCGGTCCGCCGCCACCGCCACCTCCACCCCGTCCTCGCCGGTGTAGCCGCAGCGCGTGAGGCGCGCCGGCGCCCCGGCCACCTCCGCCAGCGTCGACCCCATGAAGCGCAGCTGGCCCACGTCCACCTCCGTGAGCGGCTGCAGCGCGCGCGCCGCGCCCGGGCCTTGCAGAGCCAGCAACGCGCGCTCCTCGGCGCCGAAGAAGCGCAGGCGCACGCACTTGCCGCGCGCCGCGAACGCCCTCTGCAAACACGTAAGGAAGGCATTTGCTCCGCACGCGCACACACGCACACGGACTCACACGCGCACCCCCCCCCCACATCATTACAACCATAACAAAAGCGCACTTGGCCCCGCACCGCGAACGCCGTCTGCGCACACGTAAGGAAGGTGTTTGCTCCGCCCGCGCACAGGCGCGCTCACACGCACGCACACAGCAATACACCAATAACAAAAGCGCACTTCCTCTATCCACGAACGCCGTCTGCGCGCACACACAGTGCGCGCGCATACACACACACACACACACACACACAGGGGCTTGCCCCCGCCGTGAACGCCCTCTGCGCACACAGCGCTACCCACACGCAAGGAAGGCATTTGCTTCGCGCGCACACACACAAAGCACGCACACCGCATTACACCCATAACAAAAGCGTACTTGTTCTAGCCACGAACGCCATCTGCGCACACGTAAGGAAGGCTTTTGCTCCGCTCGCGCGCACACACACGCACGCATGCACACCGCATTACAACCATAACAAAAGCGCCTTTGCTCTAGCCACGAACGCCGTCTGCGCGCACACACAGAGGGACTTGCCCCCGCCGTGAACGCCCTCTGCGCACAGCGTTACCCACACGTAAGGAAGGCATTTGCTCCGCGCTCACTCACGCACGCACACGCGCACACGGACACGCACAAATATATACGCTCGTCCATGCACGCACACACGCCCCGCATTACACCCATAGCAAAAGCGCACTTGCTCTAGCCACGAACGCCATCTGCGCGTGCACACACAGCATTACACACACACACACACACACACTCTAACAAGAAAGGCACTTGCCCTCCACCGAGACCGCTCTTTTCACACACAGCCAGCATACAGCATACACCCCCCCCACACACACACAAGAAAGGCACTTGTTCCACGTCGTGAACGCCCTCTGCGCACATACACAACCTGCACACAAAATTAGGCACGGGGCAAGAAGCGGATTTTATCCGCCCCGCAAAGGCCCTCAGCGCAAACACTGATACGAGGGTGATTACGGGCGTGCCAACTGCTATGGTGAATATTAGACCCATAAGTTGCATGCCTTTGATCGCAGGAGGGGGCGGTTATTTTCTCTCGCTGGGTGGTGAGAAACGGCACTGATCTAGCGAAGTTTTTGTGCTGCAATGTTTTCCCCCACCACGTTTATTTCACCAGGAGGACAGTGCCCTAGCGGGACAACCTCTAACCCCCTGTCTGGTGTCCCGACATGTACGGTAGTTTATGCATGTAAGTGCAAATGTAACAAGGGGTAAAGATAAGATTATGGGTAATCTGGGCTGTCTGGGTGACGCCGCGTCGAAGGCTGTTTTGCCGACGTTTCTACCGTCTTTTCGTGGTCTTCCTCAGGGCTGGGCATACCATCTGCATAGTATGCCCAGCCATGAGGAAGACCACGACAGGATGGTCGAAACGTCGGCAACACAGCCTTCGACGCGGCGTCACCCGGACAGCCCAGATCACCCACATGACTCTGGCTGCAGTACCTACGATTTCAAAAGATAAGATTAAGAAAGAAGAAGGAAAGATAAGATTAAGAAAGGCCTGTTTATTATATCTTACGGCTTACCTCGGCGCGCAACATGATCTGCTGGTCCTCTGCGCGTCGGGAGGCGTTGCTCACCACGTGCAGGTAGCCCAACGGGGTCTTGGTGACGATGAGGTCGTCGAGGATGCCGCCGGTGATGGGGTCCGTGAAGGCCGTCAGCGCCGACACGTTGTCGGGCAGCCCGCGCAGGTCGGCCGTGCACAGGCTCTCCATGAACTCCACGGCGTCCTTTCCGCGCACCTGCACACGTGACACCTTGCGGTACTGAATTGAATTGAATTGAAGCCTTATTTTATGTGGCGAGACTTGGACCATGAGGCTTGCTTTTCCGACTGACCGCGCAAATTTCGCTACGCTCCTTTCACCAACTTGCAGAGGGGGTATTTCGTGGGCGAGAAACAGACACTTGAATTTAACTCAAAGGAGGCATTTAGACTTGATCTTTTACATGTAAGTAAATCTACTAACATGGGACAGCCAGCTTTACGAAGGACAGGAAAAGGGTACGAAGGATTTTTTCGCCCTTAAAAATCCACGCCTTCGATCGTGTTTGAACCGGATCTGGGTATAACAGTCCGATACGCTAACCGTTACTCCATCGCCGCGCGCTTACTGAGAGCAAATAAATACTAACATGGGCTTTTAAATAATAATGCTGCGTCGCCGTTGACGCAAGGCGTCTCTGGTCGTTGAGCGCTTTCCCTGGAGTAATCCTCGTTACTAATGGGCAAGTATTTATTATCTTAGACATGTCACGTCACCTCGCAGTCATTGATAGCCGGAGCGCAGTTCGCGGGGCGCAGAGAAGTCGCTCACTTCGGGAAGTTTCTAGTCGGCTCCTGCCAGGTACAAATCCGCCGCTGTAAACGGCTGCTCCTGAGCAGTCAGAGCTGAGAAGCGAAGTGTGTGTGCATCGAGGTGCACAGCAACGCAGTGGACTACGGTCAGTGCAGTGAACTGTGCAGCAGTGCAGCGGAGTGTGTGTCAGTGCAAAGATGAACATCGTGTGTGCATCGAAGTGAACAGCAGCGCAGTGGACCATGTCAAGTGGTTCATCCTCGATAAAGTCAATCATGTGCGGATCCTTGGGCAAGTCGATCAAGTATTGGATCCTTGGGCAAGTCGATCAAGTATTGGATCCTTGGGC